TTCTTTCCAACCGTAAAAAAAATCACAATTTTTCTTCTTGCGGCCTTTTTTGTGCAGTTTGAAGAATTTCGTCTGAATCATGAATGATCTGGTTGAGGAGGCTGTTAACTTCTGACCTGCACTCGAGTTTCGCGATGTGCTCAGAAATTAGAAGATGTCGAACTTGCTACTAACTGCACTTTTTTCGCAGCTGACGTCGCTTTTGCGGAGATCGTTACGTCTGGATGATGGATCCAAAAGATGTGTAAGGTATTACCCCAACAATGACTGCAACAATCGAAAAATTTAGTTCGCCCTGTGTAGAACGAGAAGACTTCAAAGTCACTTACTCGAGATATGGTGCATTTTTGGGGGCGAGCGCGATTTCTTTTCACTGCATCACCGGAAAACAAGACGCCACTTTCGTTGCGCACGGGTAGCTCTAATGCGCAGTCGTCCAGGTCGTTAGCGAACGCGCTACATCTTCTACTGAGATAGTCACGCGGTTGCAGTGTGAAGAGCAGCTTCCGGTACTAGCAGTGCAGGATGTTGAACACGCTTGGTTGTGATTACATGCGGCGCAAGTCATCCGCACGCGCCCACCAGCCGTCCAACCGGTTGATTTGAAAGTATCTTGGAAAGATTCAGCGATTCTGGAAAGTTCCCAAATCGCATTATATAAGGGAATTAGATCTTTTTGAACAGATTCCACATTGAATGAGGTCTCTGATGTATAGCACAATTTATTTTGAGGAATATTTATTCATGGGCTGGAGGAAATGGCCCGGAAAAGCGTCTTCTTTGTTCTGGAACTCACAGCGGTTCTGGAAAGCTTCCATGTCGCATTAAATAAAAGAATTTAGATGTTTTTAGACACCGCGATCATCGAGTCCCCTATTTCCCGCGATCAGCCTCAGCTGCTGTTAAAGCCTAGTTCCAGGCATCGCTCATGGAGAAGAAGAACATCAGCCTACTTTGGCACCTTCGCACCAGCTCACTCTGTCGCGCGGGGGGAAATAATGTCCACTTAACGACCTGAGACGATCGCGCAAAGCTTAGCGTATAGGGTGAGACAGGCCACGTCTTCATGTTTGGTGTGGCTGTGATAGGCATTATAATACCAAATGTAAAGTTGCGTAAGAAAGCGCGAAAGCGCAGATCGCGTTGGAGAAGATCTGGGCGGGGATCTGGCTCATATGCCTGATGAAGCTTTTTGGAAAACGCAGGTAGAAGTATAGTGTATTGAGTGATAACTTTAACAAGAAGAGCGACATTAACCTCGTTTTCTGCTTGAGAAATAACAATATCCATCGCGATGTGGATATGCCGCATAAGAAGTTTCCAATTGCATTTATTCATCTACCTGAAGTCCCACTTAGTTTAGTGGTAGTTATTCATCATTATTCATCATATTCACTTTATTCAGCCGCATTTACTCACCTAATTAGCCTCATTTGATTCAGTCTTCCAATTGGCCTCTTCTCGAAGCAAGGGTCGGAAGCGCCGTTTGCCACTGCAGCCGGGCGCGTCTGTCATATTCGTGCCCGAACCACTTCCCCGCTGGTTCGCTGCCAAGTAAAGGCATATGTAAAGCCGCGTTAGGAGCAGACGCGCCTCTCATTAATTTGTTTCAATATCTCTTGTCAGTTTCTCATTGGGTCGTTAGCAGCTTACTGGCCAGCCCTCTTAGAGAAAGTCTCTTTTACATAGTGATCGAGCAATAAGTTTTCTTGACGTAAACGAGCATACGCGCGATAGGTCCGTCAATTTGATGTGGAGGAAGTCCAATCCCGCAGTGGAGAGGGTCACACCGTTTCTGACGAGCACTAGGCGATTATACGGTCGCCCTGATGGCGAGCGCTGAAGCATTTATATTAAAAGTAAGTTCTGTGAACATCGGGGGGGGGGGGGTGAGCGGTGAGCGGTGAGCGTGAGCCTGGTAGAGCGTGAGCGTGAGCTAAGTAAGCGCGGCTGTTCCTGCGTGTCCTTGTTACACAGTAGTTAGAGATCCTGTCTAATCTATCTGTGTGGTCTTGTGATAATGCGTCGTAATCGCTTGTGCGATATTTTCGGGTCATTTGGGTCGGATCGTGTGCAAAGGATGAGCAAGCTGGAGTTTAGAGCAGTGCAGTTTGACAGTCGAGCAGCGAGTCGAGGTGCTGAGCCCAGGCGGCGCGATATTGGTGGTGTTATGAGCCAACACACGAACACGGTAAGGGAAAATCAAGGAAATAAAGGTGTAAGGGTAAATCTAACCACCAAGAAACCCAATTAGTTAAGGTATTACAAGCTGTCCGATTATGTGCAGTAACCATTGAACTTGTATCTTTGTGAGTAGCACCAGTAATTATGTAACTCTCGATCTATCAAGATAACAAGCATGCATCATATTGTGTGCTCTTTGACCGATGTCATTTTGTCAGGTTAGGCGTAGCGCTGACGCAGTGAAGTGTAGTGGAGTCTAAGAGCATAATCGTATTGTGCTTTCCTGCCAATATTTGCCTTAATATCGTATTTTGTGATGTACGTATCGTACTACAATGTGCCCAAAATTCTCGCCTGCCTTGCAACTAGTTTTTCTACTGGGAAAGCTCTATCCTAGCGTCTTGTTGTGTATCTTTGTTTGCTCATGTATTAGCTTGTTTTTTTTTTCAGATGAGTTCAATGGATATTCGTAAAAAGCGGTAGCAGGAATTTTTGCAGAACCGTGTGGTGAAGAGTGCGAGCGCTTAATTGACCTGCCCACCTCCCAAAATAAGAAATTCAATGTTATTCTTGAAGAAATTTCTTACACATCGTCCAAGGCGCATGAGGCGCAGTATGAATAAAAAACAGCTCAATTTAAACAAATGCATTCCGATTAATGATAATTAGGAACAACCATCGCATATGAGGCAGTTTCTGTGACGGCCTGACCATATCTGTTTGCAGTGTTTACTACGAATGAGCAAAAAAAACTGTTGCCTTCGTCTCTTCCAAATTCCCATACAGTCGTTTTTTTCTCAGACGCACTCACATCGAACACAGAGAGTTCGTATAAGAGCAAAGAAGACAACAGTTTATAGATCATTGTCTCAAGCGGTTGATACTGAGTTATTCCATACAGCTATGGGAACGATAATCCGTCTCTCATACACGAATCGTCATTTGTGTGGAGCTCTCAAGTCCTCTTGCAGGCAAGAACAATGCTCATTTTGGAAAACCGCTGTTGGATAAATTGATATTTGTAAGGTCAGAAAAAACTTTGGATAATCATTTGGGAGTGATGGGAACATTATACTCTCCTTTTGACCGAACTTTGGCTATCATGAAAAAAACCGGCACTTAATTGATGTGTATCGATTGTATTCTGTGACTGTCAAATAACACATTTAGCGGTAAAACTGATTCACGTTAAAATTAACTGCCTTTGGATGCAAGGTCTTTGAATGATGGAAGCACAAAGTCTAATAGGAGTATAGAAATGGTCAAGTACACGTACACAGTTATTGTCCCGCTGTGTGATATCTCCCGTACTGACGCCGATTGGCTAAAATGCGTCAAATGTGTAACGCATTGCAAGATCAGTAACAATCACTCAGACAATCGCCGGGGGCAAGGGGGCACCGGAAAAATAGATTGCTGATCTCTCGCACCCCGCTCGCGGATTTTTTGGAAAGCAATCAGGACTTTTCGGAAGACCGCTTGCTGAGTTCTCGATTCCTCAGAAATTCAGCAATATATCTGCAAAAGATAAGAGCGAAAAAAATTCAACAGGCGGTCTCTCAAAAATCCGCTGACTCAGCAAGTGGTCTTCCGAAAAGTCTTGATTGCTTTCCAAAAAATCCGCGAGCGGGGTGCGAGAAATCAGCAATCTATTTTTTCGGTGCCCCGGCCCCCAGCGATTGCCTGAGTTGTACACCCTAGTATTGTGAGACAGCCAGAAGACTGCCAAGGAATTAATATTGTTTTACGGTGTGTTCCCCAAGGTTTTGAACCTTTTCGACCATGTAATTAAATCGGTCAAGGTTTACATTGTTGCAACTTGCATGAATCTATATATCAAATTTCGTGCTGCTTCGCCCAGTGTCAGCTGAGAAAATATGACTCAAGGATTTTTGAAACGCCCTGTATATCTTTTTGAAATGGCAGCGCTTGAACTATCAGGGTGTCCGAAAATTAATGCGGGCCTTGATTCAACCGCAATAAGTCATACGCTTCTCATTTCTGAAAAGGTTGCAAAATACCATTCGAAAGAGCAAAGCAAGCTCTACAAGAAGGCACCTTGCTTTTACAATAGCTCTCGTTAACTCGAGTTTCGAGCGAAAAACTAAAAAGACCCAAGTGCTTAAGAAATTGAGAATCGTAACTCACAAGGGAACCGTGTCGAGTCGAAGTGGCCTTTCCAGATGAGACCCACATTGCTTTGAAGAGTATTAAGCGACTCAGACATTCGTGGTTAACACGCGCAGTGGATCCGCCCACAAAACGGGGGTAGCGCGGAAAAATGAGTACTGCTGCGGCATACGCGCTTTTGTTGCGACGTTCGGGCTAATCCCGAAACTAAAAAGAAGGCGGGAGAAATTCATAACACCTGTCGCGACTCCCGAAAATGGTCTTGGTCGCGATTAGTCGTCTAAATGGTCTTGTCTGTAATCACGCATGCTTCGCCCTAGGCGTCTAAATTCAAAAAAGAAGTTGCGCCGTTTTGTTAATGGTGGAGCGGGCTGATTCTTCCGGTGAATCTAGTTTTTGATATTTGTTGTTCGAATCTGTCTTATTGAGTAGTCTAATGCTTTGCTGGTTTAATGAAAATTTGATTTCATTCTGTCTTAAGTGTCGCTGTTTCTTTGTTTTTTGTTACGCACTGAGGGGTTAACGGTCAGGATTCTTTTTTGTCCCACCTTTACGATTGACATTCTTCATCTGAGTGTTCAATAAGAGTTTCTTCTTCGTTACAGCATTTTCCAGTTCTTCTCAGCGTTCGTTCGCGTTTCTTCATCATCTCGTTAGGAAGTGTATGACAAATGCGTTCAAACCCTCTATTCAGGTAGCAATTCGCATGCTTGACGTTGGGAGGCAAGCAACAGAGTTCGCCCTGATTCGATAGTCTCTCCACATTGTCGACCGCAATGAGCAGTAACTCGTCGGGTTCATCCGGATCACCACTGAGTCTCTCGTCTCATCTCAGAAACAGCCCAGACGCACTCTCACGTCCCACTTGGCTCTTCAATAGTCAGGTTGGTTCGTATTTTTGAACATTGCAAGACTTTTTTGTAGTATCTCTGATCACAATGCGAAACTCTTAGCATTAATTCGATTTTTCTTCTCTATAACTTCTTTTTTTGCTCTTTGTTGCCTATTCTCTATCACCTGTCCATTGTGCATCCCTATGCTGAATCCTATAATTTTCATAGAAGAAAACGCATTTAGAGCTTGTTCTTATATGCAATCTTATCACATTTACTAAATATCATTTTATTATAGCTAGCTGATTTTGCCTAACTGAAAAAATTTTTGGAAGTGCCCTTGCAGGTTCACCTTGCGAAAAATTTTCACATATCTCAAGTTTCTGTTCACTATACGCGCGATTAGTATAAACCTTTTTGATTGCATTATTATTTATCACTCTGGTGGCTTTATCACTCAGCATGGTGCAAGCCAGATTTACTTGGAGTGGAAATATTCGTTCAGCACTTACAAGAGCATTGTAGGCGTTCATGTACCCTTCCAATAAATACATATATATCTTCAGTTCAGGGGAGACCTGCGCGCTTATTCGTTCAAGCCGGAAAAGAACGAACTCGTTCCCCCATCGGTAATATATACATCCTTTCTATGCACATCAGCCTTAAAATGGCATCTTTATTTCAGAAAAAACGCACTTGTACAGTTGCAGTGGCCACCGATCCGGTCCAGGTCAGGGATGAGGACAAAGAATATGAACTCGAAACACTTTGAAGCAATTCTATCACACATAAGCATTACTATTACTTTTGTTTGTTCCAACATGTTCTCATTATCACCGCACTAATTAGAAGAATTTCCATTTTTATATCCCATTCCACTTATGATGCTCTCGCTTATTTGTTTACATTCCTATAACTTGAAGATCTGAGGCCGTATTTATTATTCGTACCTTGAGGTAAATCCTACTTCCAGGTAGTTTGATCACTCATTATCATAAGTTTTATCACTGTAATGACTGATAAAACTACCTGGAAGTACGATTTACCTCATGGTATAAATGATGAATACGGCCTCTCAATTCACTTAGCCACTATAATACTCCCATTCCATTTATTATGGTGCTCTTGCTTTGATTTGCTTGCACTCTAACCTTAAGATCTAAATTCACTTATTTTGTGTGTTCACTTGTTATGAGAAGTTCTCAATAAACATCTATTTGAGTACTGATAAGAGAATTTAAAAACATGGGTATTTAATGCATTTCAAAAAATAACTAAGAGAACAGCGATGAGCGCAAGTTGCGCCGTAATTGAATTCTCAACATTACCGGGTCTTGCGCTAAAGCTCAGTTTTTCTCCCGGTCTGCGTGAGTGCGGGAGAATAACTTGTCTCGTGCAGCAATCTCCCGATCACTACGCCGGTGTCCCGAAATTCTCGCGAATGTTTTAATTAAGTCCCGCAGTCATTCCGTCGCTACATAACTTTTCTTTGCGCGCGAGTCAACCACGAGTGTCTGAGGATGATTCCAAATCTGCCTTCCAAATCTGCCAAGCGCCTGTGGACGCCGAGTTATGACCGTTCTTCGGAACGAAAAATGAATGCAGAATTTAGGTAAAATTGATTGTTACAATCTTTCCAGCGCTCAGATAAAGCAATGTTAAGTATTAGCAGATTAAATAAAATGTATCCATTGCATAAACAGCTCTGATACTTGGCACTGGACCATTTGAGCAAATTTGGGCGATTTTGCTTCAGTTTTGCGTTCACTTTTTTGACCTGAAAAACGAGCATAACTCAGCGTCCAGAGGCGCTTGGCAGATTTGGCAAGCAGATTTGGAAACAACGATTAATGCTCTTTAAAACAGTATGGGTCTCATCTGGAAAGGCCACTTCGACTCGACACGGTTCCCTTGTCAGTTCAAAGAAGATCCTGCAAAAATTCTAACTTGCTCACGTAAACATTATCGACATAAGGCTTCTATATGCACCGTTACCGTATTCTTTTTTCTATGAGGAATCAAGAAAACGGAAAATTTCATACATTTGCCAAAGTGACGCTGTGCTGTTCCCACATGAGTAGTTGTATGCTGCAAATCTGTAGAAGTACAAATGTAAGTTCAGCTCTCTACAAGCTTTGATTCTCGAGAAATATCGAATATAGCTTTTCCTGGTCAGGTGCAAAGCTAAAATTTAATTTCTTGAGAACCAAAGCCTGTAGAGAAGGTTTACGCTTGTATTTCTACAGGTTTGTAGTATACAACTACTCATGTGGGACGGCACAGCATCACTTTGACAAATGCACAAAACTTAAGAGTAAAAGACAGCAACGGCGTATATAGATGTGTTGTGTGGGTAGGGCTAGTTTACGTGAGCTAGTTGAAATTTTTGCAGGATTTTTATGAAATGAGTTGCGATTTTTCTCAATTTTTTCTGGCAGCTCAGTCTTTTCAGATTTTGGTTTAAAACTCAAGAATAATGAGAGCTGCTGCAAAAACAAGACAGCCATCTTGTAGAGCTTGCTTTGCTCTATCGTATATTGCCTTGAAACCTATTTGAAAGTGAGAAGTGTATGACTTATTGTGGTTGAAATTCAAAACGGATATTAATTTTCGGACAACCTGATAAATTACTTGCCTCGTCAGTATGGGATACGCATTTGTGATCTAACAAAAGCTAAACATGCCTAGCTGCTTTACTCAACATAAGCTGTAATAATTCAGATAAAGCTATATTCGCATTACGCGGGTAGCGAACTTAGTACTCAAGCACGGAAACGAGTGCTCGGATGTGTGGCTGATTGCTTTATCGTTCTTTTTAGTTTTTATTGTTGTGCATGAAGACTTCATTCTGACCTTAAATGTGTAAGGACATTTTAAAGGTTGTGCAGTATTTTATTTTATTTTAATTTACACTTTATTTGCACAAACAAATAAACTCACCAAACAACTTAGACAAAAAATAAATCCAAGTCAGAAGACCACTAAATATTGCAGAAGCCTTGCCACCTCTGAAACTATAATTATTCCCGATTTACAATATTTGGTGCATTGGTGTGTTTGGTGCATAACAAGTTTGTTTCCGAAACAGTTTCCAAAACTGAAACTTTTGGGAAATTATTTAGCAAAGTTTTAGAAGAGTAGCTAAGAAAAAATGAAAATCTCCCCAGATGGCAAAAGGTTTGCCCTACACGCTGGCTATTGATGTTCTTTGCCGCGAAAGGTACAAAATCGTTTTCAAAGCGTTTAATTTACTCTTCCTAAGTTTTCATTCTTTTACTCTTCTTCATCCTTCGGCAAGTTCTTCCTTTCTTCTTTCTTGCAACCACTCCAAACCTGCGCCTACCTTTCCTCTGACTGTGTTGACTTGTCACTCAATCTGGCTGCATCGCTTTGTAACACCACATCCTCACTACCGCGGAATAAGAATGAAATTGACCATTCGTGTTTATACCAATATCGGAGAATGCTTTGTCAACATGATGAGCTTTCATTCCCGTAGATGTGAGTAAACACATCAATGAATCGATAAAAGGACCCAATGAATTTGTAAAAAGTAGTCTAAAACCGTCTATGGGTCAAAAACACTTGTGCACAAACTTTCAGCCCTATCGGTTGAGCGGCTCGCGTTTCTATAACGCACATACTCTCCAAACAGACAATTTTTGAGCTTTATTATATAGAGATTTGCCGGTGTATATAAAAAACTGACAAAACTTTTGGGCCGATCTAATAGCAAATATACCAAAACAAGATAAAGCAATTCAGTTTTTTACTTATACTTGTGCAAAGCGTCTTCGAGTTTTTTAACCTTTAAATATGACAATCCACTTCATGCGTAAACAGAACAATGGCGCTTCTCTGTCTCTGATTGGCGCTTCTCTGCCTTTTCTAAACTCCAAAAATGCCATCATCTGAAATGTACCACAGTTGATAAAAAATACAAACGCGGAAACTAAACTCAACAAGAAACAAGAGTAAATTTGGAAATGGATGCCGTTTTGAGTTTGAGCAAAAGGTCAGTTTTTGCTCTCGAATGCTATGTCCGCGCATGCATCGCGCTTGCGCAGCTTTTCATGCGTTCTGAGACCGATGATAAAACGTCCTATAACTTGGTACTGATTACTCCAGCGCCAAGAACTGTGCCGCTGTCATTTTGCCGTGTGCCTACTGCAAAGACGGGGAAGCTCTTAGAAAAGTTTAATAACTAAAGAATTTCCCACTTTTCAAGCGTGACCACCTGCATGCTTCAAATTTTCCGCGCATCGCTACGCATGCCTTTATCAAGCAGTCGCTTTCCACAATTTCTAAGCAAAGGCTATAGGCCAAGGGGTTGCAGACGGGATTCTTGGTGTACAAAAAGTTCTGTTTATAACTTGAATATAGATTAACAAATTTTGAATGACTCAACTCTAAACAAAGTGAGAAAGATGGTGCACTCACAGACGTTTAACGCAGCAGTTGTATTGAAAAGGAATTGGTTGATTTTCAAGCACAATAAGGCAATGATGCTTTATATGTATTTCAAAATTTAGCAAAGATGTACAGAACAGAAAGTGGAATGCAAGCCTAGCTGACAAACTCATTTGCTAATCACTTTTCAAGGGAGTGCACGTCAAGAACTGTTTTGAAAAAAAAACCGCTTAAGCAGACATTAGAGATAATTATTATCATTACAATCCTTCAAAATCACACACGACTCATATTTTTTATGTAATGATTCGTGTAGTTATCAAGAAAATCTTATTCTTCCTGATTACGCATTTTGGCCACAATATTCGCCTGATCTCCTTTGATAGAACCAATAACAGATAACCATTCATCAGCATCATCACATCGGCGGTGTAAAAGAACTGAAAATATCGGCTTGAAATATGTTCAGACACTGCCCAGATGGAAAAGCTCAAACTCCTATTACAGTATTTAGAACCGCGCCCCATAGAGTTGTTGCGTAATTGTTGACTTAAGCTTAGTCCCTTGCGAGCAAATGTTCGCAATAGCGCAAAGTTTCAGCAGCCAACTATGCACCTACCAAAAAGTTTATATTAAAAAAGACAAACAATTCTTTAACCATTGTTTTTTTTGTCTGAAGAATGTAGGTGTACCTTTACGCTCCCCTTGATAGCCAATCCTATCAAATTGTATAGCTATATTGACAGTGGCGTACCCAGGATTTCGGGGGGCGGGGGGGGGGGGGGGGAGGGGAAAAAAATTTTTTTTTTTGAAAAAGGTGCGTGGCGTCAACCACGAACTCCGAAAAAATTTTAGGGAAGCTTCTAAAAATTTTTGCGGGCCCCAACCCGCATCCCGGAAAGAAATTTCTTATAGGGCTAATTTGAATTTTTAAAAAATTTTAAAAATTGTTTTAATTGTTTACAAAAGTAAACAAGTCACTTGCACATTTTTAAAACTTATGTAAGTAACTTTCAGAAATTTCGCGACCCGTTCTCGGGGGGGGGGTGAGGGCGCTCCTCCCGCCCCCCTCAATACGCCACTGCTATATGAGTATCGTTTGCTCGCTTGCCGTAGAGTAGGCGAAGCACTGCCAGCGTACAAACGTGGCGGTTTTTGACAGCGAGAGAGTACAAAAAAACAATGCGCTGGATTGGAGGGTAATCGATAGGATCAATTGACTGCAGTGCTCCGCCTACTCTAGCGGAAGCGAACAAACGATATAGTAAGTTTCAAGTCAGTTTAGGCGTAAATTGGACTGGCGGGAGTCCGCTTCGCAACAATTCGCGCCGCTTTGTAGTCTGCGTCTCTTCATACTATTTTACCTCTCTAAGCCAGTGGAGGCGCGGACGCACTGCTCCATTTGGAATATTTCGCCTACTTCGGGTTGAAAAAGACTATACCTACCCTATCAGCGCTATGTTAGTGCTAATGTTATGCTTCAGTAAAGCAATCGCAAAGCAGCGAGTATGCTCCTGAATGATTCTTACATTATCGAAAAAAGAAGAGAGTGGATAGTGCAGTTCTTCTGAGTTTTCCATGCTCATATGCTGAAGTTCGCCCAGAAGTCGTAGCAATTGAATTATGAACATAAACATCAATGCCAGACTATTCGTTGATGTATAGAAAAGTATACGCTGAAAGCTAGAAGCATAATCTAAGGAAACTTGGTTATAGTTCAGTCACAGAATGCTATCGAATTCCCAACACACAAACGCGAAAAAGGCGATTGCAGGAAAAAAATAATTTTCTAACCTTTTCAACATTTTTGATAGCCACGGTCCTTCCGACGGCAGCATACACCTTCCTTAAGGTGAATATGTTGAACAGAGAGCATGCAACAGTTGCGATACCAGCAGAAAGTACATATATAAATCGTGAAATCTGCGAGCGAAGGTACTTAGACAACTTACATTATGCAGCAAAAACTATTCCTTACCACATCTAATTTGATGTCAAATCCTTTGTAAATCCAGTCGTCTTTGTCTTTTATTATCACAACACTTTTACCATAAAGATGCGGAAAACAAAGTAGGGCTACCCCATACTGTATCATGATAATTATCACAATCTTCCGTGTTCGCCAAATCTGAACACCCATGTATGTACATGTCTCTTCTTCCACTGAAGCTAAAATTTTGCTCACAGCGTTACCATAGAAAGTCTTATATCTGTAGTAGCATATGAATGTGTTGCCAATCTCGTGCGATAAGAATGTTACTCCGCTCAGAAACGTGACGATGCTAGCTGTAAGGGCCCAGCTGTCGTCGAGCCTGCAATACTGACACTGAAATTCTGTTTAAATGAACAGTAAAAAAAGGTTCTGTGCAAGCGCATTGCATTTGTAACAATGATTAGTCCTTCCTTATAATTGTTGCGAGCACGCACAGCGGAATGAGTTATATTAGGTTGGCGAGTTCTCGGACATTTTCAGCAGATCTGCTATTTCTCGAACCTAATGCATTATATCAGATAGGAGTACCATTCGATAGAGCAAAAAAAGCTCTACAAGATGGTGTGCAAATGTTCGCACTAGCTTCGACCCACCGTAAGTTTGCATCCAGAATCTGAGTCGTACTTAAAGCTCGGAAAATTGGGAAAAATTCATACTTTCTTGAAAAAATTCACGGATCTCCAATTGCTCACAAAAATTGCACACCACTTAATACACTTGTATGTACTGTTCCTGTGTTTTCCCCATCTAGAAAGCGAGAAGATAATTACTTTTGCACTTATACAAAAAACGCAGCTGTGCAGTTTCTACACACGTAATTGTATAGTACGAGCCGTTAGAAGTATAACCGTAAATTTTTAGCTTTTTGCAAGCTCTAGTTTTTGAAAAATATTGAATTTTTACATGGCGCCCCGAGTGAGGCATGTAAAAAGCTGAAAATTTACGGTTACACTTTTAGAGGCTTGTTCCATACAATCACATGAGTGGGAACAGCGTAGCTTCTTTCTTGTGTAGGCAAGAGAACTTCGGTTTTCTCGATTTTTAGATGAGGAATAAATACAGGAACGGTACATGTGAGTGTCTGATGCGGTGTGCAATTCGTGTGAGCAATTTGGAGATCCGCAGAATTTTTTTGAACGGAGAAATGAATTTTTTCCAATTTTTTGAGCCTTCAGTACTCAGATTCTGGTCGTATGCTTACGTTGAATCGATCTGGTGCGAATTTTTGCATATCTTCTAGTAGAGCTTGCTTTGCTCTATCGAATGGTATCTCTATCGGAACTACTCTGAAAATGTCCGAGTACCTTCAAGCCAACCTGATAGCATAGGCGCAGATCATGATTAACTTTGTCTCAGTAATGGGGATTGTTGTTGATGTTGCTGCTGAACAGTTAATTTTGTAGCAGTCTGATATCTGCAAATGTGGGAAAAGAGCATGAATGAATACAAGTTATTTACAATTACTTTTCTGAAGCCAGCTCTATAAATTAAACTAATCCTCGAAAGCGTTGGCATTTGTCTGTTCCAGAATTCAGCACTATGCAAAAGTCAACTTAAGAGAGTGGCAGTGAAACTGCCACTATGCTTAGCACACTTAGCACTTAGATGGCCCGTCCTCACGTGAGTGCGGGCCCCAGTACAGAAGTTGCCATTGATCCCTATCCCTCGCTTCGGACATCCACGATCTTCTTGGTCGTCGTCGGTGGCTGCGTCCACGAGTTCCAGGGGCGAGAATCGTATCCAGCTGATTTCTCAGCTGGTCCATCCGTTCCACCAACACGTCTGCCCATCTCGTCGGTGGTCTTCCTCGAGGACTTTTGGCTTCGCGAGGAATCTCCATCTATCGTCCGTTCTTCTCATTATGTGACCGGCCCATCGGTGTTTCGCTTTCGCAACGCATTCCGCTGGGTCACGAAGACGGGACATTTTTCTCATATCCGTGCTGCGAAGTCCGACTAGATGTTGCTTGTGTCGGGTCATCTTCAGAAGACTTCGCTCGAGCGCTCTGTGGGTGGTCCTTAAAGTTTTCGACGTGACTACGGTGTCGGCCCAAGTCTCAGCTCCGTAGCAGAGCGCTGGCAGAACGGTTGAGTCGAACAGGTGGGCACGGAGCTCCGGGTCCGTCAGTTGGTCGGTGGCTTCCTTGCCACTATGCTGGTTTACACTAATCCATAAAATTCGCCAGTTTTGTAAATATCACTAGACTTTCTACCATCTATTCTCTTTGTACTAATGTATGTCGCTTTCTTAGGGGTATAAGAAAATTTGAAGGTAAGTCACTACAAAAATGGAAATGTCGTTTAGCGATAACATACCTTTCTTCTACTATAAGTCGCAAGATCAGACAATTTATTACGCATATGACATCGCCAATGCCTGAAATCAGAATGCTTATTGATTTGTTAATGTTAGGCTGCTGCATAAGTTCTGTCCGATTTTTTGCCTTATGTTTTAAGCAGCTGTTCTAAGAGATTCTACCTTTATGCATACTGTTTACACAATTAGGGAACGCTTTTCTTGCACATTTCAATTTTTGATAAATTCATCAGTCTAACGAGATTACAGGCCTAAGATCCCTACGTCCGAGATACGTTTTCACTCAAGATATATGTATTCTTGCAAGAAGATCTCCACAATGTGCCGTCCAAGCCAAGTGCTTTTATTGGTTGCCAAATGAGGGTGTAACAGAATACCTTTGATAGTCTAGAGGCAGTGCCTAAAAGTGGAGGTTATTTGATTATCTGTCCCTCATAAAAATTGAAAGTAGTTCATATGGAACCAGAATAGAAAAAAGATGCAAAACATTCAGTAAAAACAAGAGAAACTCTTGAAAATCAGATAAAAATGCTGCAATAAGTTTGAAATCTTTCATTTGGCGGCATTGCAGGCTTTCGCTCCAGGACCACGTAACACGGGCAAAACGAGGAAAAGCTAGTTTTTTCTTCGTGTTTATTTCAAAACCAACCATTTTTGGGAATTAGCGACTATCAAGAGAAGATAAACAAGAAAAGAACTAACTATGAAAAGGCAAAATTTCTTTTTTACTAGGTCAAAATGCACGTCAGAGCCAAATCTAGTTAATTTAGTTTTAGTTAATCTAGTTCATTGACGTTCATGTCTTCTGGGACGTTGTCTGAATTGTTGCGCTTGTTATTCTGAGCAATAGCCGTCCAAGCTGGAAAAAATCGCTGCGAAAGACTGAAACGGAACAAGGTAAAGAAAAGCACGCTTTTTACGATTTTTCGCAAAAAAAATCCACCATAATCGAGGACATAAGGGCTGGGTGTTGTCGCGTTATGAATAAAGGCAAGACCTATAGAATGCACGAGAAAACCGCGTGACAAGAGTTGAACTAGGGGAATAACAAGAGGTTTTCGAAAACAAGGTTTTTGCCGGATTTTTGTTCAAACGAATAATGTGGTTTTGGGGTTGTCAGCTCAAAAGTAGAGATCAAGAGCTTCAAAATGATATATAGCTCGCTGAAACTGGGTTCGAAACAGCGAAGAAAAAGGTACCAGAGCCAAATGCCCCTTGCCCCGCGTTTTGGAATAGCGAGGTAGCGCGCAGCGCGCGGAGACGCAAACGAGCAGCGGAGACAAACCAGAGCGGACGGCGCATTTTGCCCTGGTCGTAGATCTCCGCGGGAGCTCAACGAAACACTGCAACATTATGTATCATTCTGATCGTCATGACACACCAGGAACACTTACAGCGTTCCGAGCGTTGAAAGTCACTCGTTAACGAGATAAACCAGCATTTTCGTGCTCGAGTTTCGCAATCTTTCGGTTTTCGAGCTTTTTTCAGATAACACCCGCTATACTTGCCTCATTCACATTCACTTCTACATATGAGGTTGTAAAGAAAGTTCTCGGGCACTTTTGGAAATTTCATTTAACGCATTTTTTCGGCGCTCGGTCGGACTTTGACACTAGGTTTTTTATACCATTTAGTAGAGGGAAGCCTGAGGTTTTCAATACGCCTTCTGATTTCTATCGATGCCAAGACGTGTTTGACCTGCACATCGAAAAAGGAAATCTTTCCAACCATAAAAATTTCGCAATTTTTCTTCCTGTGCCCATTTTACTGTACAGTTTAAAGAATTTCGTCCAAATCAAGAGTGATCTGATTGAGAAGTCTGTTAACTGTTAACTTGTGACCTGCAGCTGCACTTGAGTTTTGCGACTTGTGCTCAGAAATTACAAGCTGTCGAACTTGCCTCTGACTGCAACTCTTTTCGCAGCTGGCGTCGCTTCTGCAAAGATCGCCGCGATTGAGTGATGGGTCCAGAAGATGTGTAAGACATTACCCCAACAATGTTCCCAGTAATCAAAGATTTGGTCCTTTCTGTGCAGAACTTGAAGACTTCAAAGTCATTTACTCGAAAAATGGTGCATTTTGGGAGCAAAAAATGGTCGATTTTTTAAACTTTTTAGGAAGATTTTTTTGCAGGTGTTACTTCAAAAACATAAATGGTCCACACAACAGCCTTAGTAGACCTCTATATGACTACAGCATCTGGCTCTCCAGCTCTCATCCGGCATGAGATAATTCTGCACAAATAGGCCACTTTTCGCGACGACCTTTTTCCCTTCTGCGCATGCTGGTGGGCCGCAGGAGGTACTAAGAAGCCAGCAAGACAAATATATGTAGTGGACAAAATTGTCTTTGCAATGAAGTTTGTAGCTTCAAAAAAGATTCGATCTAGTTATAACGATTTGAAAAAAATTTTTGCAAGTGCCCAGAAACTTTCTTTACAACTTAATAGTTAGCTATGTCATAATATCCAAGGCCTAACCCGAATGACTTCTCTTCTTTTCTCCAGGTGAAGGTTGTGTTCTATCATAGCGTTCAAAGTGAAGGTTATCAGAGTACATGGCTTTTTGTATCAAAGGTATGAACATGATAGTATATGCACAAGCTCAATTTCATTCAAGAAAGAGTCTTGCTAGTAAAACTTGCTGTCAAACATTAATTTTTTTGCATGTATGTTCTACTAGCAATAACTTCCTGAATAGAAGTAATCGATCAGTTCAAAGTTGGAGGTGTTAGGACAAAGCAAGGGCTAACAGGACATCAATTTCTCTTTACCGTTAGGGTCAAGCTCAAAATTTTCACGATTCGTAAATAGGCATGCACACATGAGGTCAAAACGAGGTCAAAAAGCGGCTTCTTTTTTATTCGGTTGAAAAAATCTCGCGACACCGAAGACCTTATGGGCTCTTTTAGGCTAAAGTAAGCTAAATTTCTCCATCTATCCAGAATTAATGAATATGCCTGTCACTTCTCATAAAGAAGCATCGCCATGTCAAAAAAAGACAAGTTTGAAGATAATGCCTTGAAGTTTTTGAGTTTTCTTCTTTATTCCGAAAGTCTCAATAACTTTCTGATAGTCAAAGAACTGTCAACACACTGAAAGTATGATCATGGAAAAAAGTTGATTTGAAAGAATTTATGACAATTCGAATTCGAAAATTAGAATCGGACAGATAATATGTTGCATGTACTGCTAGTAACAAGATAGGTTTTAGATGGATTACGAAATTATAATGAAGCTCCTCAAGCTCGCCACACTCTTAGCCTCTAGATCGCCTTTATTCATTGATCTGACCTATCGCTAACTTTGAACAAGGAATAAATTGTGCGGAAAAGTGAGATCCTTACTTAGCCTCCCTGCAAAAAGGCAATAAAAACGGCTGACCCTAAGAACCAGCGGATCAATCAAACTCGCGTTCTTTTTCGTCTTTTAGGCTTAGATTAAGCAAAATAACAAGTTGCTTACTAAGTTTTGCAAAATTTGTATAACATGATTTTATTGAACATGGCGCATTCATTCTTTGGTATCATAAAGAGATGTAAGCTACAAATGCTGCATACATGCCGACGCCATCACTTTGATAATTACTTCAATAAATCCTTCGCAAGACGGAAAAATTTGCCAACTGGCATATACCACTGAATACTGATAATTTGTTTAGTTAAAATGTCCTATTGAAACTTATTTATACTATAAAATTCTTCTTTTCACATAAGTTATTACCTTATTCTGACTAATTTCAATGATTTACGCTGAGATAGGTACAATTCAGTAGATTTCCTGTGAATATAGTGCAGAAGCGGCAACACTAGAGCGTAAACAGCTGCCGCAGAGCAAGAAGTCAGGTAATTCAGTGCTCTCTTTGCTCACTTTCCATTTTTTTTTCAAGTGTGCCTCCAGATGTACCTCCTGGTAGCTGCATCGTATCTAGTGTTTGTGACTTTTCACCTTTTTTTCATAGATGCGATAAGGTAAGAATGACTCCTTCAGGGTGAAGGGGGTCACAGCGGTCGCAGCCCCTCCAGGGTGAAAGATGTTTCACTTGGTAGAGAAATTATGAAATGTCGATCGGGGGGGGGGGGGGAACCATGATGTTCTCTCATTTTTCTTAGTCAAAGTTTATAATTTTCAATTTTTTGCCACCACTGGTTGTCTTTTTTTGAAATGTGAACCGATGTGCTGCTGGATTAGTATACAATTATATATCTGTCCAGCACCTTGTATTTTTTTACATTTCCTTTTCCCTTTTTTACATCGCCCTGCCTGTTTTTGAAATTATAAAAGATGTGCATGCAAGAGCATTTGTTTCGGAAAGACTTAGACAACTTTTGAACATTTACGAAGTATTTTAAAAGAAGAAATTCGTAAATTCTGTAGATGAACAGCAACGTCAGCAAGAGAAATGTCTCTAAAACCATCTTGTCTTCCGCTTTTAGAGCATATATAGTTTGCCTGGAGTCTGTTGAAAAAAGTGCGCCAGGTGAAGGTAGTGATTTCTGAATATTTACGAGTTTTCCGGATACAAAAAATCCCGAAAATCTCCAGAAATCACTAGGACACTTTTTACCCAAGCACTCTTTTAACAGAGTCCAGGCAAAGTGTATACAGTGACCGCTAAAAAGTTGCGGACAGCCGCCTTCCTTTTTTCATCGCTCATTTTCGGATGGAAAACAAAGACGAAAAAATAACTGGATTGCATAAGGTGATAGAGTTCTATAAAAGCTACAACCCACACATTGCGCTTTCTGAAAAATATGTACTTTAAACTCTAAAAGTCTTGTTCTCAAAAAGTCCGAAAATGGCCGCACCACAAAGTTGCGGACAATAATTCTTCAAACGCGAAAATTTTTTTTTAGGTCTTCGTTTGGAGCAAAAGCAGAAGTTTTCTGACAGATAAGCATACTATATTACAGAACTAATTGAAAACAATAATCAGGTAGTGGTTACTTCCAAAAAAACCCGAGCTTGAATTTTATTTCGCTTTTTTTCCAAAAAACAACTTCTAATTACCTTCTTCAAGCCAATTTTTTTCTCATGAAAACCTATTCAAGACATCCAAAGCTGTTCAGACAAAATGGATGCTCTTTGCCATGCTCTATCATCGGACGTGTGCTGGTGAGTTTCTTTGCTGAAAATGGCTCTTGACAGTGCGTGCACATGACCTCGTCTGCACCTTAGCATTGACTTGTACCGGTTTGCAGGCTTGAAGCTCAGCCGTAAGGCAAGCTACGAGCCTGCAGGTAGACTCATTCGAAAGCGCATGATTTCCCCGATGCGAAATTATGCAAATAAGTTCAGTTTGAGCAATCCCAAGGATTTTACGGATGGGGCGAAAAAGCGCAGCCTCAGAGGTAATTGGAGTGAAGGCTCTTAGAACACCAGAACAGTCTCAGAGCTTCGAAATGGATCCATTACAAGAACATTGACAGTTTTGAACTCCTAGGATAAAATTGGCAGCGAATGGAGCTCTCTTCAACTTTAGCTGAAAAATGCTTAGCCTACAACTGAGGCTGCCCTCTTCCACCCCATCCGTCAAATCTCTGGGATTGCTCACTGAACTTATTTGCATACCCTCGTGTCGAGGAAGTCACGCCCTTTCGAATGAGCCTACTTGCAGGCTTGTAGATTGCCTGATGGCTGAGCTTCAAGCGTGCAAACCGGTACAAGTCAGTGGTGAGGGCAAATAGGGTCATGTGCACGCGCTGTCAAGAGCCATTTTGGTACTTTTTTTAGAAAAAGACTTTTAAAGTTTTTAGAGTACATATTTTCCAGAAAGCGCAATGTGTGGGTTGTAGCTTTTATAGAGCTCTATCACCTTATGCAATCCAGTTATTTTTTCGTCTTTGTTTTCCATCCGAAAATGAGCGATGAAAAAAGGAAGGCGGCTTGTCCGCAACTTTTTGGCGGTCACTGTATACACTTTGCCTGGACTCTGTTAAAAGAGTGCTTGGGTAAAAAGTGTCCTAGTGATTTCTGGAGATTTTCGGGTTTTTAACATAAAAAATTCATAACTTTTGTATATGAACATCTTCTACTCCGATATGGTCACCTTTTGGAACCGGCTCGTCCTCCGCTTTTAGAAAATATATACTTTGCATGGAGTCTATTAAAAAAAGTGTCGGGTGAAGGGTGGGTGAGACTTTTATAATGGGAGTGCTCAAGTAAACGTCTTTTTACAACGGTAAAATAGCCTCTACTTGAGCACTTCCATTATAAAATTCTCACCCACCCTTCACCCAGCAGTTTTTGTAATGAACACCAGGCAAAGTACATATTTTCTGAAAGCGGAGGACGAGTCGGTTTCAATGTTAGCGTACATGATGTTCAACTACAAAAATTACGAATTTTTTATGTTAAAAAGTCGAACATCTCCAGAAATCACTGGGACATCCTTCACCCAGGCACTTTTTTGGACGGATCTCAGACGCTATATACCTTCTGAAAGCGGAGGACGAGTCGGTTCCAATGGTGACTACCTCAACGTTCATCTACAAAAATTATGAATTTTTATGTTAAAAACTCCTAAGTCTCCAGAAATCACTAAGCACACCCTTCATCAGGTAACTCTATGAACGGACTTTAGGCAAACAATTTACTCCATAAAAGCAGATGGGAATTTTATACCATAAAAATTTCCTCGCTGACTTGTTGTGCTGCTACAGAAGCTACTATTTTTCTCCTCCTGGAAGTTCATGAATGCCTATAAGTTTTCTTCCTCCTTTCCATACACAAACAATTCCCGTGCAAACTCCTTTGCGTAACCTTGCCTCACTGTTGCAAGGGAACCTATTAGCGTGGTAAAGAAACGTTTTCTGATAGAAAAGAGGTGAATGAAGGGGTTATGTTAAATACACCATGCGATGCAGATTCAAGAGGTACACCTCAACTCAGAGGACGATGGACTGGTCAAATCAACATAAGCTGCTTTCTAACTTACTTTCTACTCATGGTCGATTGGAGCATACTTGAAAAGTGAAGAATGTGCACAGAAGTCTGAAATTGCATGGAACTTCTCGGTCTGCGGCAACTTCCACGCAAAGCTGCTGCTTCTGCAAGGCACTATACTTGCCTGGAAGTCTACTCCAGTGTATAAAATTTCTAGACGGATCGCAAAAATGCAACAACATGCAATAGATTAGAGACTGGCGAAACAATTTTTTTTTACTGAAAAGGCATTTGCCTCCTTCTACTGTTGGAACAATGAATGCCATTTGATTGTACGGTAGGAACATTGGGAGAAAATTTGAGATTACAAAAGAGCTTCGCTTTGATCAAGGGTTAAGCGCAGTTAAAAGTTTTGGCAGTGCCAAGACAAGGCTGGGAGTCATAAAATTCGATCACCACTTCCCAAATCGCAAGACGCTATATCGTTAGGCCAAAAGGTGAGAATGCTTAAGGAATAGGCTATAGTTGATAGCAACTGCTTCCAAGATCTCCGGCGTCGCCGAGGTTGTAGTTGTTGTGGCTGCTGATTTTGCCGGCGTTGCCAGTCGCTTTAAGGCCCCGGGCAGACTTCACGCGATTTGATCGTCGCGACTGAGTCGCGACGAGACAACTGCTACAACTTCATTCCATGCCAATCAACTTGCATTCGGTTGTGATGCTTTTTCAGACCGAACTTTTTGAATGTGAAATGAAAATGAATGGAAATCTTGGCGATTAGATCGCGACGATTGTCGCGTGAAGTCTGACCGGGCCTAAGACCTCATATAGCTAGTCTCTCTATGCTATGCGCTCTCGAAGGCTGGTTCATAGTAACCCCGAAGTTTGGAAACAGTTCCACCACAGCGCGAGATCGAGCCCTGTGCAGGGACCCTGGAACTCAAAAACAGTGCCCGTGCAAAAAGTCGATTCTGAGATTTCGTGCTTAATTAGCCTATTCGCTATGCTGAATCCGAAAATCCACACTGAAAGCGCGAAAATGGCAAAAAAAGGGCTCTAACGCAGGGTTGCGGTGGGCGGCATAGGTGCGATAGTGTGAGAATTTGCTCACCCCCCCTTCACCCCTGAGCCGGAAACCAAGGTGACCCCCTTCACCAAAACCGACAAAAAAAATCAACAGTGAGGTAAGGTTATGCCTGATAAAATGACCACGCTAGCAACCTATTTGTAGGCTCTACAGTCAAGCAAGTGAAGGGCAATCGTGGCATTCTTCCAGCTATGTCCTTAGACCGATTTAATGAGGACCGATTTTATAAACGGTCTGAAAAAGTGAGTGTGGTCAAAATTATTGGATGGTACACAAGTGCAAAACTGAGGTTTTTGCAGGCGTAATGTTCGAGAAGGAAAGGTTATACAACGCTTGTCACTTGCTTCATACGAATATGGGATGAAGGACCGGACCGACCGATGACTATATTCTTGTCTTAATGTTGCCGTTTCATGCTTTGTAATTTAATGAAATTATTGAAAGATGACGACTATCAACTATTGTGAGGCCATCAGAAGTTGTAATAGAAAGTGGTTCTGAGAAGTGTGATGATAGGAAGTATCAAAAATTATGAATGATGAAGCACGTAGAAAGAAGTAAAATATTGTCTGCCCAGGAAACTCTGAAAGATACAGTAAAATTATTGCATGTATAAATTGCCATTCTTGGTAAATGTGCACGTAAATGGTAAGAAGGAAACACACTGGAGCAGGATTGGAACCTTCTCGTTATCTTCCAAAGAAGGCATTGGATGACAATGGAAGAAACAAGGACAGGAAAATCGGAACGCCTGACTGCCACGAAAAATTTATTCCGCTGAAGACTACTGGACACTGTGTAATACTGAACTTGTTAATTCGGCAATTGGAATAATTAGGGTTGTTGAAACAAAGTGAGGTTGTAACTACTTCTTGTTTAAATTTAGATTTAGCATAGGAGATATTTGTACGAAAATTGTTTGTGTATCGGAAAGGAGGGAGAAGATTTATAGG